AAAATTTTCACTTTTTTCCCGTCTTTTTTACAAAATTGATGAAGCAAATGAACATTTCAAAAGTAGCTTTTCATCCTACGCACTCCCAAATGATATGTTTATATAAAAGGCATTTTATTATTATTTTTTTTATTGTTTTATTTCCTTTGATTTCTGGTGTATACTTCATTTCTTTCCGGGTCCTGCCCAGAGAACTAAGATCAGAAATGGCATCATGACATTTTCCACTGACCAATGAAAAAAAAAAAAAAAAAAAAAAAAAAAAAATATTTTTTAGATAAAGCCAACACCTTGTAAAGGTGATGGGCATATACTCATATAGATAGGTAATTTTTGTATTCTTTAAGGCATGGACTTCCAGGAATTATATTTTAATGAGTCTTCTGGAATCTTTTCCCGTCCAATCCGAGGGCTCCAACTACAACTTAATTTTTGATGTTACCATGTGCCACATTTTTGAGATTTCGATTTAAAAGGTCCTTGTATTTTGATGTTTTTTTGAAGATAAAAAATATATATTTGCAGTCTGCAGGGACTTTGTTATCAATAACACAATTTTTTGTCTCTATTATTATCATTAGTAGTAGTAGTAGTATTATGATATATAATAGTTGCCTTAATACCTACAATGTTTATAATGGAATAAAAATCCTAATCTCATACGTAAAAAGATAAAAGTGGATTGAGTCCTGTTACAATCAAATAAAACCAATAAACGATTGGCCTTCTAATATCATTCTTATGAACTCCAAACTATTTAATATATAATATATACGATTTTTTTTTTTTTTTGGTCATCTAGTTTTTCTCTGTGTGTCCGTCGTAATAGAAATGCATTAACTAAATTGTCTATTTGATGTTATTCTCAAGTGAAATCTATTAACACAACTCTATTAAAAGCAGCTAACAAACATCAATTCTCTCTCTCTCTCTCTCTCTTCAACATTTCGCCCTCCCTCCATCCCATCCTCTCTGTCTCTTTTCTTTTCATACAACGAAACTAGTTTAACTACTTTCTGGGTATTTAAAAATGTCGGACGAAGAGGAAGAAGACTCAAGTTGGTTAAAACTAGAAGCGACCAAAATTGAATTGATGTCGTTGAGGCCAGATGACAAAATAAAAACAAAAAAAAAATAAATAAAAGAAAAATAATTGGGAAATGTTAATTCAAATTAACACGAGGAGTTATTTAAAATAAAATAATAATTTATTTAGATTTATGAAGAATAGTTATTTTGCATTAAGCTGATAAAGCAACATTAACAAAAGAGGGTGAATGGTTTTATTCAAAGCCGTTGTGGCCAATATAGACGATGTTTCCTTAAAATTACGTTACTCATATTATCAGTCTGGAGACGTTCTTTCTTATTCTTCTGTCACCCCCCCTAAAAAAAAACAACAAAAAAACTAAACAAAAAAAAAAAGCAATGAAAATGACTTCAGATTCTTGAAGCTTTCATCAAGAAACACAAAAATATTTTTTTAATTTTGATAACTGAGACTGTAAGTTAAATTTATTTCAACAAACAAATCCATTTACCAAAACAAAGAATTCCATTTGTATGCTACTTGCAATGATGCCTTAATAAGGAAAAACAAAAACAAAAAAAAAACAAACTGTAAACGCTAATTACATTATTCGGATTATTGTCCTCATCTTTGTCGCCATATTTAAAAATCCAAAAGTATCTGTCTATATATCTGATATGAGGTATTATAAATTTTATTTACATTATTCGGACTATTGTCCTCATCTTTGTCACCATATTTATCCGAACGTTCAGTATCTGTCTATATTTCTGAGATAAGGTATTATGTACACAATTTACATTATTCGGACTATTGTCCTCATTTTTGTCGCCATATTTATTACAAAGTTTCGCCCGTTGTACGCTCCGGCCTTCTTTCGGTGATTGGAATGTCGAACTGAACCATTTATTTCGCTCACTGGGGTAGACTGTTCTAGTTCCACGGGCCATGTTTAATGGTTGTTAGTTATCAGTTACCTCCTGTTAATTCCCCTCTCTATGCTCCCCATTGCCTTAACCGGGTATTGAACTCACACTCTTTGGGCCCTGTCACTGGATCTAACCAACGCCTTTATTCACTGTGCCATGTGTCATTGAGGACACACGGCACGTGGAACTAGAACAGTCTACCCCAGTGAGCGAAATAAAGGGTTCAGTTCGACATTCTAACCGCCTGAAGAAGACCGGAGCGTACAACGGCCGAAACGTTCTAATAAACATGGCGAAAAGATGAGGACAATAGTGTACATAATATCTCATCTCAGAAATATAGACATACATTGTAAATACGAATTTTAAAAAGTATTCAATACCTGAACACTGAATAAAATTCTCAATTTTCCAGGATTTTGATAATGGCCATATTATTAAACATCAACCTAAACATTATTATTAAACCTAAAAACTCGAGTCACGTTCTTAAATAGCTTCGTTAGATCGAGACTTTCATATGGATGGCGTTTAGAAATCTCTAAACTGTCAGTTGTATACAACCGCTTACTCAGATCAATTGTTAAAAATGGCTTCGAGCGAATGAAACATGTAAGTCTTAGAAAGAATCACCCTTCTTCGAACCTTGTGGACTGACGCTACACAATCACCAACAAAGGACTGTATCAAATAACAGGAACCACGTCACTTGGGAACTTTCAATAGCAGCAACAACTAAAACGGATAGCACATGAAACTCGAAGAGAAAATAATGACACATTCAAGATGTTGACATTCCACATTACTTCAAACAAAAGGTTAGGAAGGAAGTTCAGATCAATACTGGGAAAAGCAATAATAGTAGAAATTGGCTAACATTGGCATTTCATTGGCGTTTATTTATTTAAAAATAAATAAATAAATATATAAGATAATAAATAAAAAAATAAAAATAAAAACAAGGAAAATAATTTAACCCAAATAAATAAATAAACGACATCCGACAAAATAACCGCCAAAATAGACTACCCACAATGCACCACTGACCAGTATATAGAAATAGCCGAGAAAAAAAACAACACTCGTGGCGTCTAGCATGAAACAGACTGTCTTTATCCATGAATATAGTACACCATAATATATATTTCTTTATATATATATATATATATATATATATATATATATATATATATATATATATATAATATTGCTCAATATCAGAGATACATGTATGTAAATGATGATTGTGTTTAGCATGAAAACAGTCTGTCGCCTCTGAGTGTTGACTTCAATGTTCACTTTTATGTTTACATACGCTCTATCTCTGATATTGAGCACTTTATCCCATAAATATAGCATACCTTAAAATAATATCTCTTCTCTCTCCCTCCTCCTTCTCTCTCTCTCTCTCTCTCTATATATATATATATATATATATATATATATATATATATATATATTATGTATGTGTAATCTTATAAGTATAAGAAACTATACTCGCTCGGAAAACCTTCGGTGTCTTGATTTGCAAATATACAAGCCAATAACAAAGGGGAAAAAGGTATAAAAAAAAAAAGAAAGAACCAAGAACATGTACGTTAGCCGAAAATAATCGTCCAGCATGCAAGTCCAAAGCCCAAAGAAAAAAAAACCCGATACGAGTATCCAAAACAACTAAATAAATCTGACAATCCGCTAAGGTGAAACCTTGGTAGTTTTGTCTGACTCTCTAGGTTTAACGATATATATGTGTGTGTGTGTGCATGTGTGTATGTGTGTCTGTGTTTGTGGGTGTAAGGTACATTTAGGGACCAATAATTCACCCAACAATTTAATCAACAAGGTTAGTCTGTTTAATTTTAATTATTATTGCGAGTAAGACCTACATGGAGGTCAAAATGTTTCGTTCGTTTATTTTGTGCAAGTACTTTCGACTGCCTTGGTCATTTTTGAGAACTGGGTGTTGTCAGTGTTGTAGACAAAGTTTTTTTTAGCCATATCTTGGTATTTTTCTGTATCGCTGGCATTCAAAATATCCCAAAGTGACGCCATATATAAACAGTTACATGGATGAAGCGAGAAACACACCAACACACAAACACACACACATTTTTAACACACACACACACACACACAGTGAAAACACCCTCACATATATATTTAGAGATGAATGAAACTTAACATCAAAAAAATAACATTTGGGAACTTAGATTAAAAAACTAGTTTAATATTTTGCTATGTTCAGTCAAAATGTTTTAAAATTACTCTTTTATAAACAGGAAAGTAATTACATATATGGATAAAATGTCTCTTTTTCTCTTTTCTATTTCTCTCATGCATATTATATATATATAAATATATCAATATGATGTATGTGTTTTATGTATCTGTGTGTGTGTGTGTGTGTGTGTGGACATGTGTGTGTGTGTGTCACGTGTGTGAATCCAGCCATGTACAAATTGGCATTCTTTTTGTCAACACCATAACCGAAAAAACCCTCATTATATTAAATTTTCTTCCATGCGTATTAGGATGCTGGTAGTATTACATATTCGTTTGTTTAGGGGTCTATCATAAAAAAAAAAAAAATAAAAAAAATAAAAACCGTATATGGTAGCCATGAACTCAAATATGCTGAAAATTAATTCGTCGTTGGGATTTAGTTTCATATTGATAAACAAAATAAAAGAAAAGAAAATGAAAAAAAAAAAATGAAAAAAAAAACACATTAAAAATAAAGATGGCTGAAAAATAACGCTGATACTTTTTTTTCATGATTCTAACTCCTACACAAGAATATATTTTATACTTATAATATTTATAAGATACATGTATTTTGTGTTACTGTAAATTTTGCATGACACATTGTTTAAACACATACTTTTAACATTAGTTAGTGCAAAAAAATATTTAATTTTGTAGGCGCCACTGAAAAATGTCTTTCATGGTTTTATAACTCAACCAAAAAAATGGAACTGAGGTTTCCATAGCATTTGGTTTTAAGGGATGAATTGCTTTCCCCAATCCAAAATTGAAAAAACACAGCATCCAGTGTTCCCAAGGTGGTGATCCCCTCCCATCTAAGTACTGACCGGGATCGACACTGCTTAACTTCAGTGATCAAATGAGAACTAGTGTTTCGGCGTGATTTAAACACCGATTCTTGTTTGATCATCGCAGTTAAGCAACACATACATATATATATATAAACAACACATACATATATAAAAGCAACACATACATATATATAAGCGATACCCTTGCGGTATTGAAATGAACTTTTAAAATTGAAAAATCTGTTTCGAAGCTTTTATTTTACTCTTAATTTCATACTAATACTTAAATTTAATATTTTTAATAAGCAAAATACTTTGCGGTATTTCAAAACGAATTTAATTTCTTTACAATGAGTATTTTTTAAATAGCTAAAAATCACTGATTTTAGACATATTTTCAAATCTCTCAGCACAACGTAATTCTCTTTATTAAAAAAAAATCTTTCAAAAATATAATTTTCTGAAACTTTATTTAAGGAAGACTTTTGATTTTTTTAATTAATCTTATTTGTGCAAAAAAATATTAATTTTAGTTTAAAATATAACAGAAACATTTTTAACACAGATGTGGATTTTTTTAAAACAGGTGTTGACAACTATCTTGACAAAGTTAAATTTGGAATTATATAATAATATATATATATATATATATATATATATATATACATATTTTGTTAAATTTACATACATATATATATATATATATATATATATTATATAATATTTAGAAAATTTAAGTAATTTTATGTTTTATTTGAACTTTTTTGAGGTGATTTGTTTTTTAATTTTACTAATTTACTATTTTTTAAATAATCTTGTGTATGGATGCCCCGTATTTACAAAAATCAAACGTTTAAAAACGAAAAAAAAAATTATTTTAAAAAACTGTTGACAGAAAAATTTTAGTAAACTTTTTCGTTTATGATTAGTAAACATAGTTTTTACTTAATAACAATATCACCTAGTCGCTACAAATTAATACAGAATTTTAAAAGTTTTAAACATTTATAAATTATTCTAATTAATTTTTTAAAAAATGAAAACAATTCTTGTTAAATATTCATCGAAAAAAGTTCTTACATCAGTAATATTGATAATATATCTTATGCATAAAAGCAGTTAAAAGCTTTTCTAATCAAATAATTTTTACTTTACGATTCGGAGCAGATTTTCGTCAACCGGAGGTCGAGTTTTACCAAAAAAAAAAAAAAAAATTGGTGATTTGAATTCTCCAAGGACTTGTGCATATAAGTAATACAAACTTAATGGATGTTTTTGAAATTGCATAAAATTAAATAAGTTGGGAGTAACAAATGTAAAAAATTAGAAGATTATCAAGAAAGTAAACATTTCTGAAATAATGTCATTCATTTTTGGGCTGATTCTGGAAATTGGATTTCAAATCTGACATGTTATTTGATTTTTGCAAAATTTTCAAATTAATGTTTATTCAATTTAAAAAAGAAAAATTAAAATTTTTTACATTAATTTATTTTACCCTTGACGCGAGAAAAAAATCCCAAATTTTTGAAGGTAAAAAATTAATAATTTAAAAATGGCTCAAAATTATTCATTTTTCCTCATAATGAGGCAAACATAAAAATATTTGACGATAGAACTTCTTTTTTAATACATTTGAATTATATATATATATATATATATATATATATATATATATATATATATATATATATATATATATATATATATATATATATATATATATATATAGGCAAGAGAGAGAGAGAAAAGTGTGTGTGTTTTAAATATCTCTGCCAAGTGCATATATGTATATCCAAAAATAATTTCCAATAACCAAAAATACTATTTTCCTTTTTCTCAATACATTTTATTTATGTAAGCAAATATAATTTATCGAAAATTATAACAATATAATAATATAACAATATTTATCTATAATGTTCGAATAAATTATATATAAACAGATTAAATAATATTTATGTTACCTCACACCACAAACTCCTTTGTGACGCTTGACTATACATTTGAATGAAAACTCTAACATTTTTAGGCATTTAAAACAACATGCCAGAATACATACATCCAGAAAATCCTCGTTGAAAACACAACTATACTTAAACATGAAAACAATAAACAATAACTAAAAAGTCTTGAAGCTCTATACATAAAACAGTTGAAACCTAACCTGAACAAAATAAACTATGAAATCTCCACAAATATTCAAAAATAAACATAATGGATAACATATATATATATATATATATATATATATATATATATGTTTTCGTCCTCTTCTTTTTTTCTGTTTTAACCTGTGTATTTTTTCTTTTCAGGGGCCCTTAGTAAAATATATATTTTTTCATTTCCTTTTATGTAAATTTTTCAAATGTCTTTTAATTTTTTTATATAAAAAAGTTGTTTCGAAATCTAGCATTATTTAAAAAACGTTTATAACTATCTTTCATCACCACCTGATGAGATGTTAGAATTTGGCATCGAAACAAAACTGTCTTTTTGTAGTGGTAAGTGTTTGTTGAAATCTAATGAGTGATTATAATAAATAATTATTGCTTTTTTTTTATTGAAACCTTCTTTCAAATTAATATTATTAACGTTTGAATTTTTCAATGTTTATGTTCTATCTACATTTGTGTTCTGTATATATATATATATATATATATATATATATATATATATATATCAATAGATAGATAGATAGATATACATTATATATATTGTATATAGAGAGAGAAAAAAACCAGAAAGAGAATTAAACCTAATCTAAAGTTTGTATTTATATATATATATATATATATATATATATAGAACATAATGAGAACGAAAATAATATAAATTCTAAAGTTCAGAGCATTAATTCAAGTTAATGGCTCAAACCCACCAAGTAGAACAATAATTATTTGAATTATAAATTTTTTTTTATGCGGAACTGTTAATTACTCATGTTATACAAATATGCATTCTTATTTATTCGATATTTTGCATTTCGAATGGTAAGAAACAAAATTGTCCATAAGCATTTTCGGTTCTCAAAATATCTGTGAACTAAATCATTATATTTTGCTAATTTACTTTTTTGTATGAATGATTCATTGTAATATAAATTAAACTGAACCACATATTTGATTTAAAAGAACTAATCCGACCTGCAAATTTTCGGCAAAACAACTGAGACATTACTCTATTTATTGAACTATTTAGTTCCTGCCACACTGACAGATAAACTCCTACAAAAAAAATCTCAAATTGCCATATTTGTAAAAAACGCACTCACTTAAATTTTCAAAAAAAAATTCAACATTAGCGTTGCGACCGCACGCTCCAAAAGTTTGTATCCGTTAACAATAACACATTTCCCAAAAACATTTCGATTCAAATTATATTTTTTCGTCTCGGATGCTACCCGAATTTTACCAAAAACAAAATAATTTCCATGCCGGAAGATGACTGAATGTACAGTCGAAAGTACTTGCGTACTTATACAGCTCATAACGTTAAGAAACAGGGATCATAACATTCATCGAGTGATAGGTAGGTTAATGCAACTTTAAAATTTTGTTAGCGAAGGGATTTCGCGATTTTATATCATTAACTTTACTAATTTACTTTTTGGATGAATCATTCATTATAATATAAATTGAACTGCATACATATATATATATATATATATATATATATATATATATATATATATATATTGTATTGGGATAAAGACTGGTTGCCTGACTGCATGAATTTAAGCGAGCTACTAGGCTGTCATCAATTTACCATCCTTTCACTGTCGAAACGGTTAAATGTAACCGTCTCTTCTACTCAAACAGTTTCTTCCCGTGCGCTTCCCGTCTGTGGAGCTCCCTTCCCCTTATAATGACTATAATCTTCAAATATTCAAGTAAAGTGTCAATCGACATCTTCCGATCCCTTGAGCTTGTTCCCCGTCCTTCTCTGTATCCTTTCCTCGAACAAGCTTCTTTACTCTTGTTCTCAATCCTCTGTAACCCATTACGTGCTCGTGGCACTCCCGCCTTGCATGGGGTGAATTGCCTTAAAAAATATAACAGACAATGAATGCCTAATCCGTCTGATCATGAACATTCGTCTTAATGTCATGTATATTTAATTTTAATTTCAAGGGTGAAAATAATATGAAAAATTGTCCAACATTTGGATATTTTTATTAAGTTGGTCCATGAATCAAACACATATAATAAATGAGCCATCAGAGAAGTTGGTTATACGGACATGAATCAAAGATATCCACCGATAAAAGATGATATTTGCTATTTTGACAATGGAAAATTCATTATGCAACGATGACGGTCTCGGAATAGCAGACGTGGTTCTATGATGCGAGAGGCCGAAATATTAACAAAAGTACCATATGTCTATGTGCAATGTAATGTGTTGTTACGAGTTTGAAATTTTATAGTGTGGGTTGCTTACATCAAGGACCAAGTTAATAAAAAAAATTGTAAATGACTGGCTTTCCAGTAATTTACAATCTCCTGAGGTGCGTTGATTCACATCAAAACATGATTGCAATTGTGTAACGTCTTTTGATATGTTTTTGATGTAATATCCTAAAGAATATTGATCTACTAAATTGAGCCCTTTTAAATTAAATGTTACAAACGTTGGAATTTAAAACCTTTTTATTCGACTCTGATCTTAAAATCTTATATATATATATATATATATATATATATATATATATATAAATGTGTGTGTGTGTGTGTGTGTGTGTGTGTGTGTGTGTTTGCGTGTGTGTGTAAAAAATATAGAAAATAGGAAAGAACTCGTTAGTTAAATAATCTAAAGTTCTTTAGTATTTATGTTATTATTTTTAAAAAATAGTGCTCGATACAAAGTAAGCATAAATATAATTATATTATTTAAAAATATGATTCCATCGCTACATAAGAGTTCTCATGTTTCAAAAAGATTGTAAATTCCCCTTGCAAAAAAATAATTAAGGTTGAGCCAGATATTTTTCGAAAATACTTTGCATACATGCATTACATTTATATATATATATATATATATATATATATATATATATATATATATATATATATATATATATTATATATGTG